TTACCGTGCAGTAGGTTTGAGCTTGCGAGGGGCCGGTCTCGCGCTAGGTGCGGGTTTCTGGTTATCGCTTCTCGGCCTTTTGGCTAAGATCAAGTGTAGTATCTGTTCTTATCAGTTTAATATCTGATACGTCCTCTATATGAGGACTACATATTAAATTGATTTTTAGAACAGGGAGACGGAAGAGGAGCTTGCTCCGTCCGCTCCACGCATCGACCTGGTATTGCAGTACCTCCAGGAGCGGTGCACCTCCTTAAACCGTTTGAAAGATAAGAGACAGGAAAAACACGGAGGTGTTTCTGGTTTGGGTTTGACAGACCCCGTTAGGGTGGCGCGTGTTTCTCGTCACGTGACGGCGTGTCTCTTACCATGTGGCGGTGCGTTGTGAGTAACACACGGCGAGTGTAGCTCGGACCCGTGGTACATCTGGGGTCGTTCGACTCGGGGTTGTCCTTTTTCGCCCATTCACCGTTTTCCCTCCTTTTTTCTTTTAATAAATTTGGATATCAAGTTTGTACATGTAATGTCCTCTTCCCTTTTCACTTTCGGCAGAAGCTGCCCCGCCCTGATTTGACACCAGCCCATAGGGAGGTCTTCATCAAAGCGGGGAGTCCGTGCCAGGCAGCAGGAGAGAAGAAACGGGGACGATCCTGAAGCTCTCAGCGCCTTCTACCCTCAGCCAGCGTCTTAGGCCGCCAGTAGGTGTACGGAGGCTCAGGCGCTTCCAGGTATAGCTCGGGTTTCTCTTCATTCACGCACAAATCTTTCGCCTTTTACTAAAGATTTCCGTGGAGGGGAACGTTGACGAGTTCTTCTTATTTTTGAAGGCTCTGCCACGGCAGAGCTGAATCTGTTTGATGTGTTTAATGTCAGGGGGTGGTGTTCTTGCAAAGGTGCTTTCGCGTTTAACTGTGTGCACGCGGCGCATGCGTTGAGCGCTGTGTGGCGTAAACAGGGGCGAAGTGGAACCGGCCCGGTCGTTCCGGCCCGATGGGACAAGCGCCGACGGTGGAAGCGCTCCGCGTTGTTTGCCTGGCATGGGGCGGGGTTAACGTGTGACCCTCCGCTGTTACCGTGCAGTAGGTTTGAGCTTGCGAGGGGCCGGTCTCGCGCTAGGTGCGGGTTTCTGGTTATCGCTTCTCGGCCTTTTGGCTAAGATCAAGTGTAGTATCTGTTCTTATCAGTTTAATATCTGATACGTCCTCTATATGAGGACTACATATTAATTGATTTTTAGAACAGGGAGACGGAAGAGGAGCTTGCTCCGTCCGCTCCACGCATCGACCTGGTATTGCAGTACCTCCAGGAGCGGTGCACCTCCTTAAAACCGTTTGAAAGATAAGAGACAGGAAAAACACGGAGGTGTTTCTGGTTTGGGTTTGAAAGACCCCGTTAGGGTGGCGCGTGTTTCTCGTCACGTGACGGCGTGTCTCTTACCATGTGGCGGTGCGTTGTGAGTAACACACGGCGAGTGTAGCTCGGGACCCGTGGTACATCTGGGGTCGTTCGACTCGGGGTTGTCCTTTTTCGCCCATTCACCGTTTTCCCTCCTTTTTTCTTTTAATAAATTTGGATATCAAGTTTGTACATGTAATGTCCTCTTCCCTTTTCACCTTCGGCAGAAGCTGCCCCGCCCTGATTTGACACCAGCCCATAGGGAGGTCTTCATCAAAGCGGGGAGTCCGTGCCAGGCAGCAGGAGAGAAGAAACGGGGACGATCCTGAAGCTCTCAGCGCCTTCTACCCTCAGCCAGCGTCTTAGGCCGCCAGTAGGTGTACGGAGGCTCAGGCGCTTCCAGGTATAGCTCGGGTTTCTCTTCATTCACGCACAAATCTTTCGCCTTTTACTAAAGATTTCCGTGGAGGGGAACGTTGATGAGTTCTTCTTATTTTTGAAGGCTCTGCCACGGCAGAGCTAAATCTGTTTGATGTGTTTAATGTCAGGGGTGGTGTTCTTGCAAAGGTGCTTTCGCGTTTAACTGTGTGCACGCGGCGCATGCGTTTGAGCGCTGTGTGGCGTAAACAGGGGCGAAGTGGAACCGGCCCGGTCGTTCCGGCCCGATGGGACAAGCGCCGACGGTGGAAGCGCTCCGCGTTGTTTGCCTGGCATGGGGCGGGGTTAACGTGTGACCCTCCGCTGTTACCGTGCAGTAGGTTTGAGCTTGCGAGGGGCCGGTCTCGCGCTAGGTGCGGGTTTCTGGTTATCGCTTCTCGGCCTTTTGGCTAAGATCAAGTGTAGTATCTGTTCTTATCAGTTTAATATCTGATACGTCCTCTATATGAGGACTACATATTAAATTGATTTTTAGAACAGGGAGACGGAAGAGGAGCTTGCTCCGTCCGCTCCACGCATCGACCTGGTATTGCAGTACCTCCAGGAGCGGTGCACCTCCTTAAACCGTTTGAAAGATAAGAGACAGGAAAAACACGGAGGTGTTTCTGGTTTGGGTTTGAAAGACCCCGTTAGGGTGGCGCGTGTTTCTCGTCACGTGACGGCGTGTCTCTTACCATGTGGCGGTGCGTTGTGAGTAACACACGGCGAGTGTAGCTCGGACCCGTGGTACATCTGGGGTCGTTCGACTCGGGGTTGTCCTTTTTCGCCCATTCACCGTTTTCCCTCCTTTTTTCTTTTAATAAATTTGGATATCAAGTTTGTACATGTAATGTCCTCTTCCCTTTTCACCTTCGGCAGAAGCTGCCCCGCCCTGATTTGACACCAGCCATAGGGAGGTCTTCATCAAAGCGGGGAGTCCGTGCCAGGCAGCAGGAGAGAAGAAACGGGGACGATCCTGAAGCTCTCAGCGCCTTCTACCCTCAGCCAGCGTCTTAGGCCGCCAGTAGGTGTACGGAGGCTCAGGCGCTTCCAGGTATAGCTCGGGTTTCTCTTCATTCACGCACAAAATCTTTCGCCTTTTACTAAAGATTTCCGTGGAGGGGAACGTTGACGAGTTCTTCTTATTTTGAAGGCTCTGCCACGGCAGAGCTAAATCTGTTTGATGTGTTTAATGTCAGGGGGTGGTGTTCTTGCAAAGGTGCTTTCGCGTTTAACTGTGTGCACGCGGCGCATGCGTTGAGCGCTGTGTGGCGTAAACAGGGGCGAAGTGGAACCGGCCCGGTCGTTCCGGCCCGATGGGACAAGCGCCGACGGTGGAAGCGCTCCGCGTTGTTTGCCTGGCATGGGGCGGGGTTAACGTGTGACCCTCCGCTGTTACCGTGCAGTAGGTTTGAGCTTGCGAGGGGCCGGTCTCGCGCTAGGTGCGGGTTTCTGGTTATCGCTTCTCGGGCCTTTTGGCTAAGATCAAGTGTAGTATCTGTTCTTATCAGTTTAATATCTGATACGTCCTCTATATGAGGACTACATATTAAATTGATTTTTAGAACAGGGAGACGGAAGAGGAGCTTGCTCCGTCCGCTCCACGCATCGACCTGGTATTGCAGTACCTCCAGGAGCGGTGCACCTCCTTAAACCGTTTGAAAGATAAGAGACAGGAAAAACACGGAGATGTTTCTGGTTTGGGTTTGAAAGACCCCGTTAGGGTGGCGCGTGTTTCTCGTCACGTGACGGCGTGTCTCTTACCATGTGGCGGTGCGTTGTGAGTAACACACGGCGAGTGTAGCTCGGACCCGTGGTACATCTGGGGTCGTTCGACTCGGGGTTGTCCTTTTTCGCCCATTCACCGTTTTCCCTCCTTTTTTTTTTTAATAAATTTGGATATCAAGTTTGTACATGTAATGTCCTCTTCCCTTTTCACCTTCGGCAGAAGCTGCCCCGCCCTGATTTGACACCAGCCCATAGGGAGGTCTTCATCAAAGCGGGGAGTCCGTGCCAGGCAGCAGGAGAGAAGAAAACGGGGACGATCCTGAAGCTCTCAGCGCCTTCTACCCTCAGCAGCGTCTTAGGCCGCCAGTAGGTGTACGGAGGCTCAGGCGCTTCCAGGTATAGCTCGGGTTTCTCTTCATTCACGCACAAATCTTTCGCCTTTTACTAAAGATTTCCGTGGAGGGGAACGTTGACGAGTTCTTCTTATTTTTGAAGGCTCTGCCACGGCAGAGCTAAATCTGTTTGATGTGTTTAATGTCAGGGGGTGGTGTTCTTGCAAAGGTGCTTTCGCGTTTAACTGTGTGCACGCGGCGCATGCGTTTAGCGCTGTGTGGCGTAAACAGGGGCGAAGTGGAACCGGCCCGGTCGTTCCGGCCCGATGGGACAAGCGCCGACGGTGGAAGCGCTCCGCGTTGTTTGCCTGGCATGGGGCGGGGTTAACGTGTGACCCTCCGCTGTTACCGTGCAGTAGGTTTGAGCTTGCGAGGGGGCGGTCTTGCACTAGGTGCGGGTTTCTGATTATCGCTTCTCACCTTTTGGTTAAGATCAAGTGTAGTATCTGTTCTTATCAGTTTAATATCTGATACGTCCTCTATATGAGGACTACATATTAAATTGATTTTTAGAACAGGGAGACGGAAGAGGAGCTTGCTCCGTCCGCTCCACGCATCGACCTGGTATTGCAGTACCTCCAGGAGCGGTGCACTCCTTAAACCGTTTGAAAGATAAGAGACAGGAAAACACGGAGGTGTTTCTGGTTTGGTGAAAGACCCCGTTAGGGTGGCGCGTGTTTCTCGTCACGTGACGGCGTGTCTCTTACCATGTGGCGGTGGCGTTGTGAGTAACACACGGCGAGTGTAGCTCGGACCCGTGGTACATCTGGGTCGTTCGACTCGGGGTTGTCCTTTTTCGCCCATTCAACCGTTTTCCCTCCTTTTTTCTTTTAATAAATTTGGATATCAAGTTTGTACATGTATGTCCTCTTCCCTTTTCACCTTCGGCAGAAGCTGCCCCGCCTGATTTGACACCAGCCCATAGGGAGGTCTTCATCAAGCGGGGAGTCCGTGCCAGGCAGCAGGAGAGAAGAAACGGGGACGATCCTGAAGCTCTCAGCGCCTTCTACCCTCAGCCAGCGTCTTAGGCCGCCAGTAGGTGTACGGAGGCTCAGGCGCTTCCAGGTATAGCTCGGGTTTCTCTTCATTCACGCACAAATCTTTCGCCTTTTACTAAAGATTCCGTGGAGGGGAACGTTGATGAGTTCTTCTTATTTTGAAGGCTCTGCCACGGCAGAGCTAAATCTGTTTGATGTGTTTAATGTCAGGGGTGTGTGTTCTTGCAAAGGTGCTTTCGCGTTTAACTGTGTGCACGCGGCGCATGCGTTGAGCGCTGTGTGGCGTAAACAGGGGCGAAGTGGAACCGGCCCGTCGTTCCGGCCCGATGGGACAAGCGCCGACGGTGGAAGCGCTCCGCGTTGTTTGCCTGGCATGGGGCGGGGTTAACGTGTGACCCTCCGCTGTTACGTGCAGTAGGTTTGAGCTTGCGAGGGGCCGTCTCGCGCTAGGTGCGGGTTTCTGGTTATCGCTTCTCGGCCTTTTGCTAAGATCAAGTGTAGTATCTGTTCTTATCAGTTTAATATCTGATACGTCCTCTATATGAGGACTACATATTAAATTGATTTTTAGAACAGGGAGACGGAAGAGGAGCTTGCTCCGTCCGCTCCACGCATCGACCTGGTATTGCAGTACCTCCAGGAGCGGTGCACCTCCTTAAAACCGTTTGAAAGATAAGAGACAGGAAAAACACGGAGGTGTTTCTGGTTTGGGTTTGAAAGACCCCGTTAGGGTGGCGTGTGTTTCTCGTCACGTGACGGCGTGTCTCTTACCATGTGGCGGTGCGTTGTGAGTAACACACGGCGAGTGTAGCTCGGACCCGTGGTACATCTGGGGTCGTTCGACTCGGGGTTGTCCTTTTTCGCCCATTCACCGTTTTCCCTCCTTTTTTCTTTTAATAAATTTGGATATCAAGTTTGTACATGTAATGTCCTCTTCCCTTTTCACTTTCGGCAGAAGCTGCCCCGCCCTGATTTGACACCAGCCCATAGGGAGGTCTTCATCAAAGCGGGGAGTCCGTGCCAGGCAGCAGGAGAGAAGAAACGGGGACGATCCTGAAGCTCTCAGCGCCTTCTACCCTCAGCCAGCGTCTTAGGCCGCCAGTAGGTGTACGGAGGCTCAGGCGCTTCCAGGTATAGCTCGGGTTTCTCTTCATTCACGCACAAATCTTTCGCCTTTTACTAAAGATTTCCGTGGAGGGGAACGTTGACGAGTTCTTCTTATTTTTGAAGGCTCTGCCACGGCAGAGCTAAATCTGTTTGATGTGTTTAATGTCAGGGGGTGGTGTTCTTGCAAAGGTGCTTTCGCGTTTAACTGTGTGCACGCGGCGCATGCGTTGAGCGCTGTGTGGCGTAAACAGGGGCGAAGTGGAACCGGCCCGGTCGTTCCGGCCCGATGGGACAAGCGCCGACGGTGGAAGCGCTCCGCGTTGTTTGCCTGGCATGGGGCGGGGTTAACGTGTGACCCTCCGCTGTTACCGTGCAGTAGGTTTGAGCTTGCGAGGGGCCGGTCTCGCGCTAGGTGCGGGTTTCTGGTTATCGCTTCTCGGCCTTTTGGCTAAGATCAAGTGTAGTATCTGTTCTTATCAGTTTAATATCTGATACGTCCTCTATATGAGGACTACATATTAAATTGATTTTTAGAACAGGGAGACGGAAGAGGAGCTTGCTCCGTCCGCTCCACGCATCGACCTGGTATTGCAGTACCTCCAGGAGCGGTGCACCTCCTTAAACCGTTTGAAAGATAAGAGACAGGAAAAACACGAGGTGTTTCTGGTTTGGGTTGACAGACCCCGTTATGGGTGGCGCGTGTTTCTCGTCACGTGACGGCGTGTCTCTTACCATGTGGCGGTGCGTTGTGAGTAACACACGGCGAGTGTAGCTCGGAAACCCGTGGTACAATCTGGGGTCGTTCGACTCGGGGTTGTCCTTTTTCTTGTTTCGCCCATTCACCGTTTCTCCTTTTTTGCGTTTTAATAAATTTGGATAGCAGTTTGTACATGTAATGTCCTCTTCCTTGTCACCTCCGGCAGAGCTGCGTCCCCGCCCTGATTTTGGACACCATCCCATAGGGAGGTCTTCATCAAGTCGGGGAGTCCGTGCCAGGCAGCACGAGAGAAGAAACGGGACGATCCTGAAGCTCTCAGCGCCTTCTACCTCAGCCAGCGTCTTAGGCCGCCAGTAGGTGTACGGAGGCTCAGGCGCTTCCAGTATAGCTCGGGTTTCTGCTCATTCACGCACAAATCTTTCGCCTTTTACTAAAGATTTCCGTGGAGGGAACGTGATGAGTTCTTCTTATTTTTGAGGCTCTGCCACGGCAGAGCTAAATCTGTTTTGATGTGTTTACTGTCAGGGGGTGGTGTTCGTGCAAAGGTGCTTTCGCGTTTAACTGTGTGCACGCGGCGCATGCGTTGAGCGCTGTGTGGCGTAAACAGGGCGAAGTGGGAACCGGCCCGGTCGTTCCGGCCGATGGGACAAGCGCCGACGGTGGAAGCGCTCCGCGTTGTTTGCCTGGCCTGGGGCGGGTTAACGTGTGACCCTCCGCTGTTACCAGTGCAGTAGGTTTGAGCTTGCGAGGAGGGCCGTCTCGCGCTAGTGCGGGTGTTCTGGTTATCGCTTCTCGCCTTTGGCTAGATCAAGTGTAGTCTCGGTTCTTATCAGTTTAATATCTGATACGTCTCTATATGAGGACTACATATTAAATTGATTTTTAGAACAGGGAGCGGAGAGGAGCTTGCTCCGTCCGCTCCACGCATCGACCTGGTATTGCAGTACCTCCAGGCGCGGTGCACCTCCTTAAACCGTTTGAAGATAAGAGACCGGAAAAACACGAGGTGTTTCTGCTGGGTTTGGGTTTTGACAGACCCCGTTAGGGTGGCGCGTGTTTCTCGTCACGTGACGGCGTGTCTCTTACCATGTGGCGGTGTCGTTGTGAGTACACACGGCGAGTGTAGCTCGACACCCGGGGTACATCTGGGGTCGTTCGACTCGGGTTGTCCTTTTTCGCCCATTCACCGTTTTCCTCCTCTCTCTTTTGGTTTTAATAATTTTGGATATCAAGTTTGTACATGTAATGTCCTCTTCCCTTTTCACCTTCGGCAGAAGCTGCCCCGCCCTGATTTGACACCAGCCCATAGGAGGTCTTCATAAACAGCGGGGAGTCCGTAGCCAGGCAGCAGGAGAGAAGAAACAACGGGGACGCTCCTGAAGCTCTCAGCGCCTTCTACCCTCAGACATCGTCTTAGGCCGCCAGTAGGTGTAGCGAGGCGCAGGCGCTTCCAGTGATAGCTCGGTCTCTCTCTCATTCACGCACGCAAATCTTTCGCCTTTTACTAAAGATTTCCGTGGAGGGAACTGTTGACGACGGTTCTTCTTATTTTTTGAAGGCTCTGCCACGGCAGAGCTAAATCTGTTTGATGTGTTTAATGTCAGGGGTGGTGTTCTTGCAAAGGTGCTTTGCGCGTATATCGGTGTGCAACTGCGGCGCATGCGTTGTGAGCGCTGTGTGGCGTACACAGGGGCGAGTGGAACCGGCCCGGTCCGTGTCTCCGGCCCGATGGGACAGCGCCGACTGTGAAGCGCTCCGCGTTGTTTGCCTGGCATGGGGCGGGGTTAACGTGTGACCCTCCGCTGATTACCCAAAGTGCCAGTAGGTTTGAGCTTGCGAGCCGGTCTCTCGCGCTAGGTGCGGGTTGTCTTCTGGTTTATCGCGTCTTCTCGGCCTTTGGCTAAGATCAAGTGTAGTATCTGTTCGTATCATGTTTAATAGCTGATACGTCCTCTATATGAGGCTACCTATTAAATTGATTTTTAGACAGGAGACGGAAGAGGAGCTTGCTCGTCCGCTCCACGCGTCGACCTGGTAGTTGCAGTACCGTCCAGGAGCGGTGTGCACCTCCTTAAAACACCGTTTGAAAGATAAGAGACAGGAAAAACACGGAGAACATGTTCTGGTTGGGTTTGAAGAGCACCCGTTAGGGTGGCGCGTGTTTCTCCGTCACGTGACGGCGTGTCTCTTACACATGTGGCGTGCGTTGTGATAACACACACACGGCGAGTGTAGCTCGGACCCGTGGTACATCTGGGGTCGTTCGCCTCGGGGTTGTCCTTTTTCGCCCATTCACCGTTTTCCCTCCTGGTTTTCTTTTTGTTTTGAATAAATTTGGATATCCAGTTTGTACATGAATGTCCTCTTCCCTTTCACCTTCGCAGAAGGCTGCCCCGCCCTGAATTTTGACACACAGCCCATGAGGGAGGTCTTCATCACAGCGGGAGTCCGTGCCAGCAGCAGAGAGAAGAAACGGGAACGATCCTGAAGCGCTCAGCGCCTTCTATCCCTCAGTCCAGCGTCTTAGGCCGCCAGTAGTGTACGGAGGCTCAGGCGCTTCCAGGTATAGCTCGGTTTCTCTTCATTCACGCACAAATCTTTCGCCTTTTACTAAGATTTCGTGGAGGGGACGTTGACGAGTTTCTTCTTATTTGACAGGCTCTGCCACGGCAGAGCTAAATCTGTTTGATGTGTTAATGTCAGGGGTGGTGTTCTTGCAAGGTGCTTTCGCGTTTAACTGTGTGCAGCGCGGCGCATGCGTTGAGCGCTGTGTGGCGTAAACAGGGCGAGTGGACCGGCCCGGATCCGTTCCGGCCGATGGACAAGCGCCGACGGTGGCGCGCTCCGCGTTGTTTGCCTGGCTGGGGCGGGGTTAACGTGTGACCCTCCGCGGTTACCGACCGTGCAGTAGGTTTGAGGCTTTGCGAGGGCCGGTCTCGCGCTAGGTGCGGGTTTCGGTTTATCGCTTCTCTCGGCCTTTTGTGGCTACGATCAAGTGTAGTCATCTGTTCTTACTCACGTTTATATATCTGAGACGTCCTCTATCTGAGTAAGACTACTATTAAATTGATTTTTAGAACAGGGAGACGGAGAGGCGCTTGCTCCGTCCGCTCCACGCATCGACCTGGTATTGCAGTACCTCCAGGAGCGGTGCACCTCCTTTCAAACGTGTGAAAGATAAGAGACAGGAAAAACACGGAGGTGGTGTCTGGTTTGGGTTGAAAGACCCCGTGGTGCGCGTTGTCCTTCTCGTCACGTGACGGCGTGTCTCTGACCATGTGGCGGTGCGTGTGTGAGTACACATACGGCGAGTGTAGCTCGGACCCGTGGGTACATCTGGGGTCGTTCGATCTCGGGTTGTACTTTTTTCGCCATTCACCGTTTTCCCCTCCTTTTTTCTTTTAATAATGTGGATATCAAGTTGTACATAGTATGTCCTCTTCCCTTTTCACCTTCGGCCGACGCGGCCCCGCCCTGATTTGATCGACACCAGCCATAGGGAGGTACCTTCATCCGAGCGGGGAGATCCGTGCCAGCAGCAGGAGAGTAAGCAAACGGGGACGATCCTGAGCTCTCAGCGCCTTCTAAAATCTACCCTCAGCCAGCGTCTTAGGCCGCCAGTAGGTGCACGAGGCTCAGCGCTTCCAGTATAGCTCCGGGTTTTCTCTTCATTCACGCAACAAATCTTCGCCTTTTACTAAGATTTCCGTGAGGGGAACGTTGACGAGTATCTTCTTATTTTTGAAGGCTCTGCACGCGAGAGCTAAATCTGTTTGATGTGTTTAATGTCAGGGGTGGTGTGCTTGCAAAGGTGCTTCCGCGTTTGAACTGTGTGCACGCGGCGCATGCGTTGAGCGCTGTGTGGCGTCAACAGGGGCGAAGTGGAACCGGCCCGTCGTCCCGAGCCCGATGGGACAAGCGCCGACGGTGGAAGCGCTCCGCGTTGTTCTGCACTGGCATGGGCGGGTTACGTGTGACCACTCCGCTGTTACCGTGCCGTAGGTTGAGCTTGCGAGGGGCCGTCTCGCGCTAGGTGCGGGTTTTCTGGTTATCGCTTCTCGGCCTTTTGGCTAAGATCAAGTGTAGTATCTGTTCTTATCAGTTTAATATCTGATACGTCTCTATTGAGGACTACATATTAAATTGATTTTTAGAACAGGGAACGGAAGAGGAGCTTGCTCCGTCCGCTCCACGCATCGACCTGGTATTGCAGTACCTCCAGGAGCGGTGCACCTCCTTAAACCGTTTGAAAGATAAGAGACAGGAAAACACGGAGGTGTTTCTGGTTTGGGTTTGAAAGACCCCGTTAGGGTGGCGCGTGTTTCTCGTCACGTGACGGCGTGTCTCTTACATGTGGCGGTGCGTTGTGAGTAACACACGGCGAGTGTAGCTCGGACCCGTGGTACATCTGGGGTCGTTCGACTCGGGGTTGTCCTTTTTCGCCCATTCACCGTTTTCCTCCTTTTTTCTTTTAATAAATTTGGATATCAGTTTGTAACATGTAATGTCCTCTTCCCTTTTTCACCTTCGGCAGAAGCTGCCCCGCCCTGATTTGACACAGCCCTAGGAGGTCTTCATCAAAGCGGGGAGTCCGTGCCAGGCAGCAGGAGAGAAGAAACGGGGACGATCCTGAGCTCTCAGCGCCTTCTACCCTCAGCCAGCGTCTTAGGCCGCCAGTAGGTTGTACGGAGGCTCAGGCGCTTCCAGGTATAGCTCGGGTTTCTCTTCATTCACGCACAAATCTTTCGCCTTTTACTAAAGATTTCCGTGGAGGGGAACGTTGATGAGTTCTTCTTATTTTTGAAGGCTCTGCCACGGCAGAGCTAAATCTGTTTGATGTGTTTAATGTCAGGGGTGGTGTTCTTGCAAAGGTGCTTTCGCGTTTAACTGTGTGCACGCGGCGCATGCGTTGAGCGCTGTGTGGCGTAAACAGGGGCGAAGTGGAACCGGCCCGGTCCGTTCCGGCCCGATGGGACAAGCGCCGACGGTGGAAGCGCTCCGCGTTGTTTGCCTGGCATGGTGCGGGGTTACGTGTGACCCTCCGCTGTTACCGTGCAGTAGGTTTGACTTGCGAGGGGCCGGTCTCGCGCTAGGTGCGGTTTCTGGTTATCGCTTCTCGCCTTTTGGCTAAGATCAGTGTAGTATCTGTTCTTGATCATTTAATATCTGATACGTCTCTATAGAGGACTACATATATTAAATTGATTTTTAGAACAGGGAGAGGAAGAGGAGCTTGCTCTCCGTCCCGCTCCACGCATCTGACCTGGTATATTGCAGTACTCCCGGGAGCGGTGCACCTCCTTAAAAAACCGGTTGAAAGATAAGAGACAGGAACAACACGGAGATGTTTCTGCGGTTTTTCGGGTTTGAAGACCCCGTTAGGTGCGCGTGTTTCTCTCGTCACGTGACGCGTGTCTCTTACCATGTGGCGGTGCGTTGTGAGTAACACACACGGCGAGTGTAGCTCGACCCGTGGTACATCTGGGGTCGTTCGACTCGGGGTGTCCTTTTTCGCCCATTCACCGTTTTCCCTCCTTTTTTCTTTTAATAATTGGATATCAATGTTTGTACATGTAATGTCCTCTTCCCTTTTCACCTTCGGCAGAAGCTGCCCCGCCTGATTTGACACCAGCCATAGGGAGGTCTTCATCAAAGCGGGGAGTCCCGTGCCAGGCAGCAGGAGAGAAGAAACGGGACGATCCTGAAGCTCTCAGCGCCTTCTACCCTCAGCCAGCGTCTTAGGCCGCCAGTAGGTGTACGGAGGCTCAGGCGCTTCCAGGTATAGCTCGGGTTTCTCTTCATTCACGCACAAATCTTTCGCCTTTTACTAAAGATTTCCGTGGAGGGGAACGTTTGACGAGTTCTTCTTATTTTTGAAGGCTCTGCCACGGCAGAGCTAAATCTGTTTGATGTGTTTAATGTCGGGGGTGGTGTTCTTGCAAAGTGCTTTCGCGTTTAACTGTGTGCACGCGGCGCATGCGTTGAGCGCTGTGTGGCGTAAACAGGGGCGAAGTGGAACCGGCCCGGTCGTTCCGGCCCGATGGGACAAGCGCCGACGGTGGAAGCGCTCCGCGTTGTTTGCCTGGCATGGGGCGGGGTTAACGTGTGGACCCTCCGCTGTTACCGTGCAGTAGGTTGTGAGCTTGCGAGGGGCCGGTCTCTCGCGCTAGGTGCGGGTTTCTGGTTTTATCGCTTCTCGGCCTTTTGGCTAAGATCAAGTGTAGTATCTGTTCTTATCAGTTTAATATCTGATACGTCCTCTATATGAGGACTACATATTAATTGATTTTTAGAACAGGGAGACGGAAGAGGAGCTTGCTCCGTCCGCTCCACGCATCGACCTGGTATTGCAGTACCTCCAGGAGCGGTGCACCTCCTTAAACCGTTTGAAAGATAAGAGACAGGAAAAACACGGAGGTGTTTTCTGGTTTGGGTTTGAAAAGACCCCGTTAGGGTGGCGCGTGTTTCTCGTCACGTGACGGCGTGTCTCTTACCATGTGGCGGTGCGTTGTGAGTAACACACGGCGAGTGTAGCTCGGACCCGTGGTACATCTGGGGTCGTTGACTCGGGGTTGTC